GATTAAAATGAGCGGAAATACGTTCAAGATGAATCCAACTACAAACAGCTAAACTGAAATTATATCTGCAGAAGTACAGTTACTTGGTACTTACAGCTCTTGGGTGTTTAAATACTATTTGAACTGCTACTTCGTCACTGAGATGTTCCCAGAGGCCATCCGAAGCAAATATTAAGAACAAATCGTGTGGCCTAAGATTTCTAGTTACAATGGAGGGTTCAGCTGTTAATGCTGGTCTTTTCATGGGGAAAGGATTTGCAAATTGTCGGAAAATTGGATCTCTGTTGAATTCGGGTTTCTTGAGATAAACATCACCAATAGATCTTGACACCTGGAAAGAAGCACGGAGAAAATATGCATTTTCAGGATATTTTCATGGGATACTGATAAAAAATAAACAGAAGATAACAAGCAAAGGATACACAAAAGAGAGGCAGATGCTCTCTATTCCTTATTAAGCACCACACATACCTCTTAGTTATAAAAGAAACATAAACATAGATCCTAATATTTATATGAACATCAGGAATTTATAGTCCCCAGACTAAACTTTCACCAGAATCACAACACTTTGCTTTATAAGATCTTCATGTACATCTCATGAGCGGAAGCCTGGGTGTGCTACTTTGACTTCAGCTGCATGAGACAGGGCCAAGAGGCAGAGCATGTGACTCCTGGAAGAGTAGTGGAGATACAACCCTTCAGAACAAACTTGACATATAGATTAGGATAATACGATCAAAATGAACTATAGGTGGCTGATTTGGTTCCTTGAAGAACACAAAATATCTTCCTTCCAACGAACTGGCGAGCGAAGATAAAATAAAGGAAACTTACAAAAAAAATAAAATAAAATAAAATAAAAAGGCAATAAAAAGAAGACGCTACAATCTTGTCCATAATACTGTCTAGTCTTATCCATAGTATGTATCAAAGAAATCCTTCAGCACAATGCCTTTTTGCAATCTTGACATAAGAAAATACTTCCAACTACCTACTTAATAGTTAAGGAAAATATAGCCAAAATGTGCATGGCTTGACAAGGGAATGTAAGGAGCTCTAGGTGCATGTTTCGCTCACACATATGGGACCTGGGAGAATAGTTAAGGAGAAATTTATCCAAAATGCGCATGGCTTGACAAGGGAATATAAGGAACTCTAGGTGCATGTTTCCCGCACACAGATGTACCAGACTGGATAGTATGACAGACAAGAAGTATATTGTTGTATTATAAACAAACTAAAACAGTGATCAATAAAAACAGTAATCAATATAACTAAGGCTTCAATGTGGGGGGTTGTCAAGACCATAGCTTTCAACCTTCAAAATCAGCATATCTGAACATCTGTGTGAAATATTGTAAGGTAAAAGTTTGACAGTAGGTACTCATTGTAGCTTTTCAGCACGAAGAATGAGATCGAAGATTTTGCACTGGTATTAGGAAATATGATGGCCTCAATCGTTTAAAAATCACCTATTCAGATTCTAAGATATTCTTTAACCAGTTTGCTTCAAATTAAAAATTAAATCATATTAGCGTTCCCCACGCACAAAACAGTAAATTAGTTCGTATACATGAATACCTGAATTATGCCCTTGATTCTCCAAACTCCATGGCATTGGAGCACTATAGAAGAATCATCTGGATGAAGTGATTGTACCTCCCTCCTTACTTTCTCAGATGAAACATTATGATCAGTTGACAATCGTTCAGCCACCACCGAATTCCTCTCCCCATCAAAACCTCTTCTGCCAAGAACCGCTCTCGAGTCTCCTAAATTCGCTACATACAATTCACCATCCGAAATTGCACCAAGAATACAACACGATCCAACTGAAGCAATCTGTGGTTTGACTGGCATTGATTGCTTCACTAATCGAGTAAAATCCTCTTCCGTTGCATGAAATGCCTTCTTTATAACATCTGCCGATAGGCCCCCTTGCTCAGTTTCAAATTCTACAAAACACCCCACATATACATTTCAGAGAGGAAAAAAATTTACATTTAAAGGATTTGCTTCTTAAATCTCTGTAGATTTGAAAATTTCAAATATTTCATTGAGTGGGTGTTTTATGATGACAACAGGTTTTAGGAAAGAAAAAATATCCATCAAATAAATTATGGTGTAAAGATCAAAACAGTTGAGCTATTAGGCAGTCTTAAGTTCCTGCCTCGAAGTCGTCAAACTAATGGAGACCTAGTTCCATCAACCTAATCCAAAAATGCAACCCAGAGCAACCTAATAAAAGAAAGCTGGTGAGACCTACTACTCTCCAGCTTGTTTGGGAAGAAGCACTAGCAGGTTATGAATGAGACATTTACATTTTCTCTCCCGGAGACCATGAAGTTTAGCTAAAGGTTGATGCATGTTAACCATCTCGTCTAAAAAGCTTAAAATCTTAGAACCATCAATTTGAATTTTTTCTTCAGCAATGTAAAAGAGAATTTGGAGCCCAATTTTCATTTTTTCAAAAGAGAAAACAGAATTTAATTGTCCATAGAGAAAATAAAAACCTGTCAAATCAAAATATTGAGCAACATATAGCAAATGATCTTCAAATACAATCCATGTATTGACGGAATTCGCATACCCTATCTAGAAACCACACGCGCACACATGCAAAAGCAACAAAAGAAACGTATAATTTTGTATCGAAATTATTACTCTGGAGATAAGGGAAGAGGTGGCGGTTGACGAAGCGGGAGGCTTCAGGTCCACCATGGCCATCGTAGACTCCAACGTAGGTGGTGGACGCCGAGGTAAAGATCTGACTCTGGTCCTCCATGCTGGAATTGGCTTGTACGGCAGCGATCGAGAAGTCGCCGAAGGAGTGCGGCTTCAGGTCAAGGTGCCACAGCAATCCGTCACTGCTCCGTCTCCCCATATACCTTTCCAAGGGCCGACAACAGCAGGATCGCAACATCTTGGTCTTTATCGAACAGGTTGAAATTTTTTATGAGAATTCTTTAGGTTTGAATGTTAGTAAGAGAAATTTATTTTTAATTTTTTGTATGTATGGCCGTTTGACGAGAGGGAGTCCGAGGATACGGCGTATGTACTTTGCTGACACCAACGCGCTTTTTATTTTTATTTTTTATTTTTTTCCCTTCTTAATTAACCCCTGTTCGGAGGAAATGTTAAGGCAAAAAATCAATTTTTGGACCATAGTTTTGCCACATAAAGAAGTCAATCGAATCC